GTTAATAATGTTAGGGATGTGTTGGACGGTATGGTTAGCACCGGGTTATCGGGTATTGAATACAATGAATGGCTTATGTGTTCACAAGTGATGAAAAGTACGCAAACCATAGGCTTTTCGATCGCAGGTTTCGCTAAACTCAACAAAACAACACTAATTGCCGTTAAGTATAGCTTTTGTTTAATTTAATACAATTTAAGAATTTAAATGTAAATAATTTGTAATTATTGTTTATAACAGGTATTTACGTTTGTATTGAATTATACAGTAATTTTGGTCCAGACATCAAAATAATAACAAATATTTAATGAACTAATTTTGAAATAAAACATAAAAACTGACAAAATGTTAACTAAAATCGTAAGCACTTGTAAATCCTATTTTATTAATTATAAATTATAATTTAAATAATAATAAAATAAAGCATTAGTTTACAAAAAATTTATATCTATTTTTTAATAAAACAAAAAATGCAAACAAAAATCATAAATTAAGATAAAAACAAATAAACGATTTATAAAACAAAATAAAACATTGAAATGAAATACAAAAGAAATAATTGATAACAAAAATTTGGACACAAAATATGGGATCAAATGATGGTTTGAATTGATAATCAAAAACCATAGGCAACTGTCGACACCGCTATCGACACCACAATCGCCGCCAACAATACCGGGTAAGGGCTGGCAGTGGACGGGCGTTGAGTACCACCAGTGACCGGGCGTTTAGGGGGCGCACCGGTGGCCGGTATTGGGCTAGATTTGTCGCACTCGGGGGTCATTGACTTCCTATTGGGCTGAGCGGCGCAGAAACTGTCGGACACCGTGTGGTTGTTGTCATAACATACATGAATTGTATCGTTTAATAAAAACCCCATTACATCTGGCCCCACACTCTCGCATCTACTCTCAGACTACCCGTCCATTTAAAACAGTAATTCAATACAAGTGTTATAAATTGTGTTATAAAGTGGTACTTGGTTTTCACACATACCCATATCTGAATATTGCGCTTATAGTCGTATTGATAGCAACAATCGGTGGCCAGAGTATAGTCTTTAGCGTCTACGGCCACAGACCACCGGCCCATCAGACACTCGGTTAAGTTGCTCTTCATTTGGGAAAACTCTTTCAACATCTCATCGGAGCACTCGTACCCAAACTTTGTGTTGCCCAGACCACTGGCCCGGGGCTCACCTTCGAACCTAATGGCTGGTTTGGCACCGGCTGTACCGCCGATGGCTATGGATATAATAGCAATGATTACAGTGTAGATCATTGTCTGTCTATCTGTTTGTCGATTGTATTTAGTATTCAGTTATTAATGAATTCAGTTTTAATTTCTGATCTAAAAAAGTAATTGAATTTTTGAAATTCTCGTGAATTGATTTGGTTTTTATTATTTGGAAATGAGTTAAAATTAATTGGTTTTAATAATTGTGTTTAAAGTAATAAACAATATAAGCATTTAATAATACTAATAATTATCACATAACATTTTTTATCATGTTTGACACAACCTAATGGCCAGTTGTTTTGTAAATTAAATTTTTTGGTTAAATTATTTTAAGTAAAGTTTTAATTAAAAAAAACAAATTATATAAAAATCTATTTACAAAACAAAAACAAAATATAAGTTTAAAATAAAAAACACAAAATTAGTTTCGATAACAATTTGGACACAAAATATTGAAATATGAATTGAATATCAAATTACAATCAACTAATGATAACCACTGATAAACACCGCAATTGAGATCACAATCGGCGCCAATAATACAGGAAAAGCAGTGGTCGAGCGGTGAGTGCCGGCACTTTTTGGACGGCGATTACTGGAGTTCTTGTCGTTGGTGTGGGGGACGGGTTCGCCGGCGGTCAACGTAGGCAATGGGGCGATGATAGTGGTGGCCGGTGTTGTACTGTCAGGAGCGGCACTGCCAGCGGCTGGTGTAACAGTTGTGGCGCCGCCAGAGGTGTGACCGCCAGGGGCTGGACTGCCAGCGACTGGTTTACCAGTTGTGGCACTACCCGGGGCTTGACTACCAGCGGCTGAACTACCAGCTGCGCCACTGCCAGCGACGGTACTAACGGGCGCTTGACTACCAGCGGCTGAACTACCAGTTGTGGCACTTCCAGGGGTGGCACTGCCAGGGGCTTGACTACCAGCGGCTGAACTACCAGTTGTGACACTTCCGCCACTGCTAACGACAGTACTTCCAGTGGTAGTACTATCAGTGCTGACCACATCGGGACAGACAGTGCATACAATGGCCGCAGCAATGATAACGATGTGTACGGAAAACATTGCCTGTATATTACAATTACTTTCAATGTCTTCAATGACTTTCAATGGTATTATCAGCGAAACAATGGATCAGTTCTGTCGATGTGTTCAACAAATGATAACTTAATTTACAATTCAGTTTCAGTTGTGAATAGCGTTTAAGAAATGTATTTGAATTTTTGAATTTATCGTGATTTTATTTTATGTAATTATTAAATTAAAACATAAATTAAATAATGATTTTAATTGTAAAGAGTTTTAATAATTGAGTTTAAAGTTAATGCAAACAATTAATTAAATAAATAAATGATTGATTTATAAAACAAATTACAAATTAAACATAAATTTAATTAAAGGTGCAAGGTGCAATAGTGGTTTGAGATTTTACTGATCAACACGTTGTTTAACACAAACTAATGGCTAGTTTTTTTTAGAAAATAAATTTTTGATTAAATTATTTTGAGTTTAGTTTTAATTGAAAAAACAAATTATATAAAAATCTATTTACAAAACAACAAAACAAAAAGTTTAAAATAACAAAAACACAAAATTAGTTTTGATAACAATTTGGACACAAAATATTAAAATATGAATTGAATATCAAATAGTGATTGACTATTGAAAGCGAGAAACAGATATCGCTATCGAGACCACAATCGGCGCCAATAATACCGTAAAATCAGTGGTCGGGCCGTAATTGCCGGCACTCTTTGGGCGGCGGGTACTGGAGGTCCCGGTCTTGTCGGCCGGGAGGGTACCGGTGCCGACGGTGGTGGTGCTATCGGTGCCGGTGGTAATGCTGTCGGTGACGATGGTAG